CTATAAATCAGGTAAACTAAATGACACATAATGTTCTATAAATCAGGTAAAACTAAATGACACATAATGTTCTATAAATCAGGTAAAACTAAACGACACATAATGTTCTATAAATCAGGTAAAACTAAACGACACATAATGTTTTATAAATCAGGTAAAACTAAACGACACATAATGTTCTATAAATCAGGTAAAATCAAACGGTTAAAATAATCATATCACGATTTAAGTAAGATAAATAATTTCATCCATTCATGTTGTACCAATTTAGTTGTACCTGTTTTTGTCGTAATTTTTTCCCAAGCATATTACTTTTCTGCTGGTACATAATTTCGAATTAAATCAATGTATTCGCCATGAATATTCCATTATACTACTCTTGAGAACCGCTTCAATCCCATTATTCATAAATTGTTTGATGTTACAATTTTCAATTTATCCGCTTTTTCCTAAATTGATCATAAAAATAAGTTAATAATTTTTGAGATTTATTTAAAAATCAAGGACATTATTGGTTATGTAACAGTGATTTCCGGAAAATACAATTCTTGTTCGATTTTTTTAATTCCGGATATGAGAAATTAAATGAAAATATGGAACGGAACGCTTAAAAGAATTTAAATTTTTTTGAGAAAAAATTTTTAAAACATATGATATGTTTTCGGCGAGTAAATTTCTTTCTGAATCTATCCTGGTGATGAAAGCACAATTATCACTTTTATTGTTTTGTTTACGATCATCAATCGAACAAATATTCCTTCCCACGTGACATAATTAGTTGCTAAAAAAGAACACCTAAATCTGGTTCTGTTTGATAATATGAAACGATTAATTTGAATAATTTCAAAAGTAGCTTGTTAAATATAAATTATCACTAATCAAAAACCATCAAAAGATTTAAATCTAAATTTGATAATTTTGATAGCTTTGATTTCCGAATATTTTCTTTTTCTCGAATTTATAATTAACTGAAATCTTTTCAGGATATTCTCATTTTATTTAATGCTACCAAACTTTCTGCTTATACGATTTTCCAATATAGATAGATGACAGTATACTGTTCCTCACAACCAGTCAAAAATTAACTACCCTTCGGTTAGACGTACATCAGTTCAAAGAGGTATATTTGAAAGATTTCGTCATATTTTATTATAATCAAATAAGTATGACCTCATATCTGATATGATATGTTGATTAATATTTCAAAAAAAAAAAATCTATCAAACTTAAAATTCTTCTTGAGGAATCTTTAAATTATCTCTTGAAGAATTGAAAGTTTAAGAATTCAAGTTTGAAATTTGAAAAAGGTTAAAGTAAAATTCAAATTTCGAAAAGGAAATTTCTATTTTGTTGAAAATTTTCAAAAGTTAAGTCAAATATCAATCACGCAATGTTACAAAATATTGTGAGAAAAAAAATTTAGAAGAAACCTTAAACATTGATACAGGTGGCATATTTCAGCCAGTTTACCTGCCAATTATTAATTGAAGATTTCATGGAACTTAAAAGTGAACAAATTAAACTTATCATTTCTTTTCTTAATTAGTTTGAATGAAATTTTAATTAATTGAAATTTTGAATGATAACAGGGTAATCGCTTGTTTTTGAAATTACTGTAA